CCCCCACAAACCACCCTTTGCTGATTTTGTTGTTTTGTTGCTGTTGTTACGTTTGTTGAATGGGAAACTAACAACAGTAATCAACCAACAGTCGAACAGAAATACAATGAGTCAATAAGCGTTCAAAATTGATATCCTCACGATTTTCAATTTTGCGATTATTCCCGTTTTTCCAGTGGACTCCTCATTCCGAACCGCCTTACACAAATTAATCAGAAACACGAACTTGATACTGCGTAGCATGCATGCTATTGATCATAGCAATAATATAGAGTTGTGTCTACACTTCCGGTCGACACCGTTGAGATCACGTAAATGACAGGCTTTGACCCTGCCTGTCAGGACCAACCCAGGCTGAAAGAGAAATAACGTCGCAGTAGAAATATCGAAATGCTCGATTTAAAACAAATCCTGGCTCGCGAATTGAACTCGGGTCTTCTGTAAGTTAAAAAAAATTGGTAAGGTTTAACTCCCCTGTCGGTGTCGTCTTTGTGCAACGTGGAGCAAACAGTCACTACATCACAAACGAAGTTTTCGATTTTCTGGTGGGGACGATTTTTTGAAGTGGGTTTTTTCGGTCTTTTTTTTAGCTTATTATTATCATTCTGTCTGTTGGCACGCAGCATCACTTTCATCCCAGGTTGGCTCGGACAAACTAGGACGCCCACTAAATGATCTAAATTGTGTCAATGAGGCCGTAAACTCATTATAATCACTGCAATCAGCAGAGTGCTGAACGATGGGGAGGTACTTTGGTGGTGCTTGTAGCCCAGTTGAAATCACGCCAGACTGCAGTGTGCATGACCCTGGTTCGAATTCCCAACATCGCGTTCTTGAATTGTTTGTAATAATAACATACTAATCACTTTCAAACACGCAACACTGAAATAACGGGAATGTTTATTTTAAATACTCGTTATTTTTTCATAAATTGCTTTTTTATCTGCTGTTTGAACATTGCATAATGTACACATGTCCATACAAAAAGTTTTGAAATAATGGTGATGACTGCAGAGGATCTCAAATACAGAGGAGGCCAAATGAGAAAAATTAGCGATCCAGTGAAAAAGTAACCAAAGGTGTCAACTAACGTTAAGAGTCTCTACTAATAGTGTATAAGTCTACTCCAATATCAAGGCAGCTTGGTAATGTCGCCTCATGGAGCGAATGAGATTTTTAATAAAATAAAAAACTGAAAAATTGTAGCCAACTCTTTGTGAAGAGCACCCTTCTGGTGTTGGATATAGCCAAAGGCATTCTTCACGTAAAATCAGCGGACAAATACGTCCCTTATACAGGGTTCCTGTTGTTACGATCGGGTAGGGTCGGGTCGGGTCGGTTTACTAACCAGATTGAGAGCACAAAGGGGCTACCGTTTCACGAACCGATCGACCGACTTGTCGCCTCAAAGATAAACGCGTTTGTTTTCAGGTGATGAGAAGGGTGTCGACCCAACCCAATCTGACCCGAACTGACCCGACCCATTCGACCTGATCCCATCCGCAACGGGCACCCGATATTAGGTTTTCAATCGGTGACGTATTATTTGGTGAAATGGCCAGCCCGTCCATCAAGTTGATGACCTGTGCAGTGTTAGGTAATGCCACACCGTAGTTATGCCGCACACCACACCACACCAAACCAGATACGACTCGAAACGACTCGAAACGATACAACACGACACGACACGACACCACACCACACCACACCACACCATATAATAGCATAGCATAGCATAGCATACGATACTATGCCAAATATTTCGTCCACCATTTAAGAGTGTGTTTTGCACAATTCTTCACTTCGGCCCAAATTTGGCCAGATGGGGAATTAATAATAGAGATCTGGGATGTGCTTAGTAATTTAAGTAAAATCCGAATAGGAGATTCCATTTGACTTCTGCTGTGTAAGATTATACCATACCATACCATACCATATTATCATACCATACCGTACCATAACCTTCTGTGCCGAAGCGACCCAAATATGGCGACGGGTGGAGGCTCTCGTGGCTTAGAGGTTAAGGTGTTGTCTCACATTCAAAGGTCAAGAGTTCGAATCCGGGTAGAGACCAAAACATTTTCTTCCCTAAAATTGTCTTCTTTCTCCTCCTTTCCGGCTCTCTAGCAATGTTCTGTCATTTGCTTTCGTCTCCTCTTTCTGTCCCCCACCCCCTCACCTCCTTTGCCCCCTCCTCTGGGCTCCTGACTCTTTCTGCAGCCCCTTGGCTCCTTCTTACTGCTTTCTTTCAGCCGCACCCCTGATCTTCTGGTATGAAAGATCTACACCTAGCTTCCTCGGACAAGGGCAAAAAATCTCGGAGGGTCTGTGTGCACGCTGCGCACGTTAAAGATCCCTTGGTGGTCTAAAATCAATAAGAGTAAGCTTCGGCCACCACCCGGCCAAAATACAAAATGTCCTACCAACTGAAAATGTTAGTCCCGCGCGCTCATAATATGACCTTATGCAGTTGAGAGCGTTGTAAATCGCTTACAAATTTATTATTTTTTAAAATAAGTATGGTGGCGCAGAGAATGGAGACCTCTGACATATGCCTATAAGGTTCAGTAATCTGCAAACAGGGTCTGCGACTGACTAGTACTGTATAAGGTAATACAGAACGTATCATTCTACCCCGCACTTTACCATTCTACACACCATACCACACCACACCACACCATACCATACCACACCATACCATATCATACTGTGCCGTAGCGACCCAAATATGGCGGCGCAGAGAATGGAGACCTCGGATATAGTATGCATATTAGGTCAAGTAACCTGCGAACAGGAGGTTACGATTGACTTATTCCAAAAAAGGTAATACAGAGCGCATGGTATTACCCCGCACTTCTCTATATCACAACACATACCATACCACACCCCACCATACCATACCACACCACACCACACCACACCACACCACACCACACCACACAATACCACACCACACCACACCACACCACACCACACCACACCATACCACACCACACCACACCACACCATACCACACCACACCACACCACACCACACCATACCATACCACACCACACCATACCATACCATACCATACCACACCACACCATACCATACCATACCATGCCACACCACACCATACCATACCATACCACACCACACCACACCACACCACACCACACCATACCATATCACACCATATCATACCATACCATACCATACCACACCATACCATACCACATCATACCATACCACACCACACCATACCACACCACACCATACTATACCACACCACACCATACCACACGACACCATACCACACCACACCATACCACACCACACCACACTATACCACACCACACCACACCGTACCATACCCCACCATACTGTAGCTGTAGCCACCAAATATGGCAACGCAGAGAATTGAGACCTCGGCTATGCTTATTAGGTCAAGTAAACTGTGAACCTGGGGTTACAATTGACTTATTCGGTATACTAATAAAGTAATACAGAACGCACCGTATTGGCCTGTACTTCACCACAGCATAGCATAGCATAGCATTGCATGGCATTCCACCATACCACACCATATCATATCTCACCATAATGATTACCGATGTGTATGAGTGGGATTGAAAAATATCTCTACTAACGCGCACTCGAGACCTGCACCAGAAAATCGAGGGAGACAGAAAGAAAGAAAAAGAGAGATCCGGGAGACAATCGTCTTATCCTTCTCGCCGCACCCTGGCCAGTGATCTCACCGATATATAACACACACGCACAGGGCAGGGGCAGCAGTTGAAGGCAACACTTGGTGTGCAGAAACGATTGTTCTTGTTCAGAAAGTTTCCGCGGAACTCCAGACATACTGGTTTGTCTATCTTTTTGGCTTTTGTCAGTCTGTTTGGGTTTTGCCTATCTGTTCGACTTTTGTCGGTCTGTTTTGGTTTTTTTCTGTCTGGTTGGGTTGTGTCTATCAGTTTGGCTTTCGCCTATCTCTTTGGCTTTTCTCTCTTTGTGACCGTTGACTCTGATTTTTCTCTCTATGTTTGACTTTTACCACTCTGTTACAAATATTTTCCCTTTACACACAACACGTGTTTGCTCTTTACGAGCTTATGGTCTTTATGTTTGATTTAAAATGTGACTGCTACAGTGAAATTAATTGTATTAATTGTTAATTGTAGGTGATGTTTATGCTCCAATCGACACAATTCTGACCTTTAGAAGGCGGGCTTCGAGGGTCCTGCCTGTCCGGACCAGCCCGATTTGAATGGGATACAACGTCCTGCTATGCGTTCTAACCGCTTGGGAGTCGAACTCAGGTCTCCTGTGTGCACGTAACTGCTCCACCACAGATGCTGACATGTTTGAGTGTTGTTTCTCTGTCACAAATGTGAGGCAGCGTGGTGGAATCAGGCTCTCGTCAAAATAATTCAAAGTTCAAAGAGCAGAAACTTGCTTTTTTCTGTTGGTTTGGGAATTTTTATCAAATTTTTGTTTTTTGGGTCGACACCTTTCATGCCCATTAAAGAACTCATTTCTGTGTGGAATTTTCTGAAAAACGTTGATTAAAGGTACAATAAATGTAAATTTTAAATTACCTCGGACTCCTAAGCTAAGGAAGTAACTCATCTTTGGCGGCCATTTTCTCACTAATTTTACCTCTGAAAACAGGTGACCCTCACCTCCTTCATTCACAAATATATCGACTTGTATTCAAGACAAATGGATATTTTTTTCATCCTAATAAACACTAGTGAACAAGCTTTATGTTGATACCAATAACTCTACATGCCCAAAAATTGACGAGAGCCTGATTCCTCCACGCTGCCTAACAAACAGTTTTATTCTATAGCAAACTTGCGTTTACACTCTACATACTCAGGCCTTTATGTCTGATGAGAACTGTGCTGGGACTCAGAACAAACTACAAAAAAAAATAATATCGATATTAATTAAGATGTCTTTTTCTTTAAAGAGAACTCCTCAAGTTACGAAAGTCTAAATCTCAGTTTCGACGATCATTGAAGAAGCCGTAGTAATCAGCAACCTGCTCTGCCTTCTCCAAAACTAATTCAAGTTTATCACAACAACTACGTTTTAAGGTTGTGTTTCAAAACATATTACTTTTGTTTAAAAAATTCGGGTGTTCGGGAAGGGAACTTGGGCCCTCGGGGTTCTGAGAGTGCTAATTGTGATGGTCAACATTGTATTGTTCTTTTGGAAAAAAACAACAACACTTTTTGGACTTTACAAGAATGGAAGAAACGCATGCAGATAATAATATTCAACTAAAGTGTAATATATTATTATTATATCACTTTCATTTTTAGAAATTAAACATGATGAGGAAATAAGAGCTGGCAATAATATCTGTTGCATCAAATGCATCACTTAAACCGTAATATGCAAGAATTTGTCACAGATTCTTTGAAAGTTATATGGATGCAATCGTATCATATCTGTGTAGAAAAATAGATCAACAGCAATACTCGTTAATGATTATTTTGATAGCAGACCTATCGCCGATTGTAGGAAACGTTCAAAAATATCTTTTTGTGTTGTTCTGTGGTGGCATGATTTTGGTTGATGTCAAAAAGTGCAATAGGCAAACACAATTAGCGATATCGAGAATACACCACAATCAATGTATGTGTTATACCAAGCGTAGACCGCTAATGTGATTTATCTGATTGACTCGTGGCCAGCCAGTTCTTTCTATCAATATGGAAGGGTTCAAACTAATAAAATTATGGACCTAAAAGGTGATGTTTAAAAAAACAAATTAATTCAATAGAAATTCCCAAACGAGAAGAAAAATGCCGTTTTCTTTCTTTTAATTATTTCGACAAGCGACTGATTTCACCAAGACGCCTAACATTTATTACTGCTCATGACGAGTTTCTGAGAGAGGCAAAATTAATCGTGTCCTCTGTGGACCAGTGTGCTTAGTCGGGTTGGGTCAAAACTATGTAAACATACACTAGTATGGGAGCAAAAAAAAGTTTGAGACATCGATGAAGTCAATAACAGATTACTGGGCTATTCCACTGTATCTGACGGGACAAATGAGTTATTTTTTCTGTCCTGTCAGTTACTGAAAAAATGACGTCACACAATTTGCCTTCTGTACTGTTGTTGGTTGTGGGTTTTTTCAAATTATTGTATTTAGTATAATTCTTGACATGGCTTTCAAGTGTTCGGATCATTTAAAATTGAAATAGATTAAATTAATTGGTATTGAATTTTGAATTACTGTGTTATCATTGTAAGAAAGTATAGTCCAAATGCCCCGTCAGATACCGTGGAATAGCCTTACAAGGTGTAATATCAGGTATCCCGGATAACATATTGTGACAAATGATAAGGCACTAATTAATTATACTGTCCCCTGTTTGCTAGTTTCTGTGTTTTGATCAATCTAGTGAAGTGCATAAAGAGGATCGAGTTTTTCTTGAACAAGCGTCTGAGGAATATACTGAAGATCAGATGGATATACTAAATCACCAACGAGGAAGTATTGATTAGGAAGAACGAGACAGATTCCAGTCAGAGAGGATGTGGGAAAAAGGCGTTGGGGGTGAATTGGACACACTTTCAGGAAGTCAAGCAGCTGCATAACAAGTAAAGTGTTAGATTTGAGCCCACAGGCTAAAAGATCAAGGCAAAGACCACGTCGAACCTGAAGAAGAGTAACGGAAATGGATGTACAGAAAAGAGGGAAGACTAGCCCAGGATAGTGAAGGGTGAAACGTGTTTGTTCGTGGCCTATGTCCTGATCCAGGGTGAGAAAGGCAATGATGGAGCTGGTGACCAGGTTGGGACTGTTCCGTAAATTCCGAAAAATGATCTCTTCCATATTAGTGTTAACTTAAAATAGTTGTTTTCGCCATCCTGTATGTAAAGTATAACCCCCGAAAAGAAATATCCATGTTTTCGCGCATCTCAGCGACTCTAGCCCGTCGTTTCATATCCCTGCAAGACAAAGCACCAATCCTATCGTTTCTGATGTTACCCCCACCGTGGCCCCGGATCGGCGCACTAGGTCAATAACCTTTGGAACAAGGGTATGGGGTTAATCAATTTTTACGAAGAAAAGGTAGAGCGCATGAACTGATTACTATGTTCTCTCTCTCTCTCTCTCTCTCTCTCTCTCTC